ATATATAGGTACTACCGTAAAATCTGTATTAGAAGCCGCATCCCTAATAAAAGTCGCACCCATTCTTTTTGAAAAATTGAGAACCAAAAAATCATCATTTCTCATATGTGTAGATGCTCTAATAGAAGCCGCATCCCCTCTATTGCATTGTACCATTTTAATAGAAGCCGCGGTTTCTAATACAGATTTTACAGTACATGTGGACCTCTCTCAGATTTGTTCGTTTTGTGATGATATCTTCAATTCTCTAATTAATTTATTTTGGTGAATATTTTTGTAATTTTTGGTAAAAAGTGATATTTTCGACTTCTTGTTAAAAACTGTAAGTCCGATTGCTTTGATACTATTCATATTGTTCATTTTCTAATGATGTCTTCACTTCTTTAATTGAAATGTGCATTGCTAACAGCGGAGCTATCTCAGCCGATAGGCTGCTTGTTGGCCTTACTACTATATTTCCACAATTTATGTACCATTTTCATTCGTATTTGGCACATACATCATACATATCAGTGTGTTTCATAATCAGATCAAAGATGGCTGAATAACGACTGTTTTTATTTTGGCCATATTACTATGACACGAAACACGTGTTTTGATGTAAATAAACAATCTGTTGTATACGCCACTTGGAACTCAAGTTTCAAGGACATGCTCGCGACAACCCCTCCGCTTTAATATGACGAGCACAAAGAGAACTTAACGGGGACTGTGTCATTTTCAATGACTTGTCATACTAGTTTTATATGGACTTTCAAATGCCTGACAATCTGAAATAAAGATAAATAAATAATAAACTGCATTACATATGTAATGAATCACACTATGTAAAGGACATCATGTGAACTACGTTATTTCATCTAATATTAATTTTGTTTCCCGTTTCATCTTATTTCAGGTGGGCTAATGCACTGTCTGGAGCTTCAAATCCAAAGGTTTCGTCTGATCCATGGATAGATATCAGTGTGCATAATGTAGGATTGCCATCATTGTCCATTACAAACCCTGATTGCCATGGTTACCTCTATAAAGTAGGTGGAAGACGAAAGGTTTGGCGACGACGTTACTGTGTGTTGAAAGATGCCTGCATGTATTACTATAGGGATGTAAATTCTCTGACAGCACAAGGTAAGAAATATCAGACTGTCCGATCCATGGCTTTAAATTCACTCTTGGACTATTAGAAACACATACACGTAAATACTGTGTATGTCCATGTATCCATACGTCTTACATTTGAGATGCGCTTTTAACAATATAGCTACAACAACAACAAATGTAACAATCGTTGTGCTGTGCTGTGTATGATATGGGTTCTGTGTGACTTACACAATAAAAAAAAAATCATGAATTAGTTTGTTAACCTGAAAGTTGAAAGTACATGGTATGTATGTATATGTGGACTCATCCTCACCTTGAGACTTGGTTCTTTCACTCTTTACTCTTAATATGTCATGTCAAAAATTTTAATAATTTTAATGTCATACGTCAAAAATTTAAATGTCATATGTCAAAGATTTTATATGTCATATGTCAAAAATTATAATATGTCAACATTTTTATTATGTCATATGTCAAAAAATTTCTGCATTTTGTGGGGCAAATTTTGCTGACACAAAGGGGTTTCATCTTGATTTTGGAGGGCGATGCCCCCCCAATTTTGTTCGAGGGAAAGACTGCCCCCCCCCCCCTGTACCGCCGCCGCCACTGTATGCGAATGCTATACATTTATGCCTGACAGAATATTCTCACTCTGAAAAGTTGGTGAATTATATTTTAACAATGAGCTGTTATTATTGTAAAATATCTTTTGTTTATAATACCTTTTTAATGTTGCTAATTGCTTCTTTTATTTGTAAGGCGTGGCCCATTTCCATGGTTACAGCATTCAAGAAACAGAGATAGGTAACAAGAAATTTGCATTTATGTTGAGTCCACCTGATCCTGTTATGCGAGTGTGGTATTTCAGTGCTGATCATGATGTTGACAGAAAAAGGCAAGTTTGAAATATATATCTACTGAAAAGAGAGAATATAGGCCATGATGGCTGTTACAAGAACTATTTGTGGGTTTGCTGGTACATCATGAAATCCACCATTTTGTTCAACCTAGTTTATATCAAGTCATGTTATAATCACTAAAATAACTATTTACCAAACTTTTATTGTCTGGGTAAGTCATCAGATCCACCATTTTGTTCAACCTAGTTTATATCAAGTCATGTTATAATCACTAAAATAACCCAAATACGTGTAACTATTTACCACACTTTTATTGTCTGAGTAAGTCATCAAATCCACCATTTTGTTTATCTTAGTTCATATCTAGTCATGTTATAATCACTGAAATAACCCAAATAACTATTTACCACACTGTTATTGTCCGAGTAAGTCATCAAATCCACCATTTTGTTTATCTTAGTTCATATCTAGTCATGTTATAATCACTAAAATAACCCAAATAACTATTTACCACACTTTTATTGTCTGAGTAAGTCATCAAATCCAACATTTTGTTTATCTTAGTTCATATCTAGTCATGTTATAATCACTAAAATAGTCTTAATAACTATTTACCACACTTTTATTTTCTGGGTAAGTCATCAAATCCACCATTTTGTTTATCTCAGTTCATATCTAGTCATGTTATAGTCACTAAAATAGTCTTTTATTTTTATTTTCTGAGTAAGTCATCAAATATATTTAGTTCGGCCATTATAATCACTAAAATAGCCTAAATAACTATTTACCACACTTTTATTGTCTGGGTAAGTCATCAAATCCACCATTTTGTTTATCTTAGTTCATATCTAGTCATGTTATAGTCACTAAAATAGTCTTTTATTTTCATTTTCTGAGTAAGTCATCAAATATATTTAGTTCGGCCATTGGCAAACTTAATTAGTGTCAATGCCTTATAGTTTGAACCGTGTCAATGCCTTATAGTTTTGAACACCAAAATAGCAACATTGCTAGCTGTGTTCTGCTGACTGGTTTGCTATGCGTGTCTCAAGATTCATACTGATTAGATCAAACAATAATTGCAGGATGTGCTTTTCGTCTAAATACACACACTAGATGCAGACAAGTGACTGCATCCTGACATATGCAACTGCATGCGTCAGTATATGCATATATTTTGTTTAATTTCTTTGGATAATTTTTCATTCAGCAATTTATACGATTTGGTAAAATAAATTGCAAGGGAATTGCATCTCGTATAGATATTCTGTTGTCGCAGTATTAGTTTGATGACTTATGTTGAAGTTGGTGTGGCCAAGCTTGTTCCATTCATGTAACATTCTAGACATGTGTGGAGCAAGCAGTTATCAACCTAGCCTGCAATGCTGCTGCTTTAATATTCAATATAATATGGCAGTAATGTTGTTGACATTATATGAGGTTATTACAGTGCGCTGTGCATCGACCTTCGCAGAGTGCCGGTCGATACTCCTGCTGTACTGTCTTTGTACATACTTTGAGGTATCCTTGTAATAACCTTATTATTATACATCTTTTCCTTCCAAGGATACATCATGGGAATGCCAAAATACAAAAAGTGTGTATAATAATTATTAGTAATGTAATGTCAGATATTATGTCCAGAAACATAATGTTTGTTCATTATGTATCATAATAATTTAATTAAGCTGTTTTATTTGTTTGTTTGTTACTTATTTCAGGTGGATTGCATCGTTAGCCGAGTCTATTGGGCACTGGATTTGTATGGATAACAATGCAGAACAAGAATGTAATGATGTTGAACAAGAAGCAGGAGAAGAAAAAGCTTTTTAACCGATTGAATGCCAAAGTAAATTACTGTTTATGTGTTTTTTTTCCATAAATTTTAATGAAGATTTTTACCCAATGAGAAATTACAACTATTTAGTCCTCAATTGATGAATAAATTAGAGAAAAATGCATAAACATTTGCAGGGGTTTCAGCAAAATCTATTTATAATTTTTAAGAATGTGGAGCTGATGGGACAGCATGTCTTGATGGTTAAGAATTAGCAAAAAAATTACAGAAACTACCAAGAAATTTGAAACCTTTGTTGTAGCAAAGCAACTCAGAGGGGATGCTTGTGTTGAAAGACAATGAACTGAACAAGCATTTTAATTGATTGACATATTCTATATGTGTATATATGTGTGTCCTGTCAAATGAAATCACATTATTAAGGGGCATTCATTAAAACGTTATCGTTTTTTTTATTGTCTGTATTATAATAACACTGCACTATTTGTGTATGTGAGAAGGGCTGTGAAAATCCGCAAAAGAAAATATTACCATAATTTTTTTTTAATCAGTTGAGCTGTTCAACCAAATGATGTTCAAAGATCCTTTGTTTTGTCCTGTAAAATTTTGTAAATGACAGCACCTACATTTTACTCCTTACATAAATGTACCATCCGCCACTAGAGGGCAGTAGTGCTTGTCCCACTGGAAAGCCACACAAGTTAAAATAAGTATTAAATTCCAGGTCTGCAATTTGCTTAAAATTTATTTATGTTATACAATTTGGTCAAATGACCAAAATATTGCTTATTACAAAATATAACTTTTTTCCAAATTATATAAATATAAATTATCCCAAACATTTCACTTGATTTACTGCCTTTACTCCTTTCAGGGTATCCATATTGAATACTGTGAACTAAGGGTAGGGGTACCGTATCCTAAGTTTCAAAAAAATTTCACTTATATTATTAAAGTGGTTGATTGTCCATCTTGGTGTTAATTCTTCTTGATTTGAATGTGACTGGATATATTTATATATACTGTAAAATGACTAATTTTCACTGAATTTAAATTTTGCTGATTTACCATTTCAGGCATATTCAGTGGGTTTTAAATTCACGGTTTTATCATTTAAATAATGTGTTCTATGTTAAATTTGACATATTCACTAGGTTTTAATTTAGCACATTTTCCAGTCAGTGAAATAAGCAAAATTAAAACCCATGGAATAATTAATCCTTTTACAGTAAACAGCTGTGACTGGATATATTAATATATACTAGTAAACTGGGATGAATTCCAGTGGCTGAATATTATCACGTACAATATGTGTATAATTAACTGACTTATGTGTTAATACTACCGTAAAATCTGTATTACAAGCTGTATCTCCTATGGAAACTGCATCCATTCTTTCTGAACTATTGGGAAGCAAAAATTTGACATTTCTTATATGAGTATCTGCTCTAATAGAAGCTGCATCCTCTCTGTTGCATTTTACCGTTTTAATAGATTTAAGCCACAGCATCTAATACTGATTTTACAGAACTTGGTTGATAACATTTTTATTGTGAACTGCAGCGTTAGAGTTTCAGCTGAATTGAGGATTATACCAGTTTGTCATGTTTGTCATTATTATGGGTTCATGTCTGGATACCGAAACATGAAATTTAGAGTCATCGGCCAGTTTTTCGAGAAACAGGAGTCTGAAAATTCATGGAAAATGACTCATGTTTGCTATGGATTCATAGATCAGTAGATCAGTAGTGTAAAATCTGTTTTAAAATTTGCGGCTTCTAATAAAATGGTACAATACAACAGAGGGGATGCGGCTTCTATTAGAGCATCTACACATATGAGAAATGGTGAATTTTTGGTTCTCAATTGCTCAAAAAGAATGGGTGCGGCTTCTATTAGGGATGTGGCTTCTAATACAGATTTTACGGGAGACATGATGCCAAGGGAGGATGAATGCTGTTTGAGAAGCTAAAAGAAGTTTTATTAATCTCTCACTCTCAACAAGATTCAGCAGCCATTTTTGTCTAAGGTCAATCGCAGCTTAACAAAAGTGTAATACATTATTTTTTAATTATACGTGTATATGCAAATTATGCTCATAATACGACATAAAATAATTGACTCTTTACACCAATCACTGCCGTGATTCTATATGCTTTGAATGCTAAATTTATGAAATTCTGAAAATACAGCATTAAAAATAATTTATTCTTTGCAATAGTGACTGTCATAATTTGCATTTTTAATTGCTAAAGTCAGTTTTCACAAGGTGAATTCTAATAATAGCTCATATTTTTTCAAAACATTTGATCGAGATGAACAATTCTGCCAATAAATAAACATCCACATTTTGGCATAAAAATATAGTATTTCAAAGACAATGTAGTATTGTCATTCGCAGTATTGGTTAAATTAATAGTATCGGAAAATCTCATTTCCCTAATACTGTAAAATACTTTATTTTAGCTGGAATTAAATTTCACTGAAAAGGAATTTTGGGTGTTTTGTATGGAATTTATTTTCACTGATTTTTGATGAGATGAATGTAAAATATAGGAGAAATAATGAAAATTAATTCCAAGCGAAAATAAAGTATTTTACAGTATGCAAATAAGCATTGTAAAGAATACCTCAATATGCAACAAGCATTATTTTATTGTAAAAAATTGAAATCAAAAATCTTTTGCAATTTATATGTTGATATTATCACAAAGTACAAACAAAAATTGATGAAAATACATCTAAATAATTGTAATTATTGTAATCTGTCCAGCCTTCATGTCAGCTGTACATTGTAGTACTTAATCTTCATTGTGAGAATTGTATTTAATAATTCAATTGAGTACAATATAAACATTTTAAAATTTTCATGCAATTTACACCCAGCTGTAAATATAGTATGTTTTTTCTATATCATTATATGCATATTATATGCAAATTATATTCATTTGCATTTCTTACTATATATGGTCAATGGCATTTTTGGCTTGCGTATGCAAATTTGTCAATTGTATTTACTACTATATATGAAACAGTATTCTGACTGCTATGTATGCAAATTATATGCTAATTAATCAATTGTATTATCTCATATATATGTTTATTAAGATTTTCTGACTGCTGTGTTTGCAAATTTGTCATTTGTATTTCCTACCATACAGGTATATGGTTAACAGTATTTTTGACTGTTGTATATGCAAATTATATGCTAATTACCAATTTGTATTTCTTACCATATTTGGTCAATGACATTTCTTATGTAAGCAAATTAGTACTTACTGCCTTATATGATCAACAATATTTTGCCTGCTATATATGCAAATTATATGATAATTAGTCATGTATTTCCTACTATATATGGTCAACAAGATTTTGTGATTGCTATGTATGAAATTTGTCATTTGTATTTTCTACCATATATGGTTAACAGTATTTTTGACTGCTGTATATGCAAATGATATGCTAATTATTCGTTTGTATTTTCTACCATATATGGTTAACAGTATTTTTGACTGCTGTATATGCAAATTATATGTTAATTGTATTTCTTACCATATTTGGTCAATGACATTTCTTATGTAAGCAAATTAGTCATTTGTACTTACTGCCTTATATGATCAACAATATTTTGCCTGCTATATATGCAAATTATATGATAATTAGTCATGTATTTCCTACTATATATGGTCAATAAGATTTTGTGATTGCTATGTATGAAAATTTGTCATTTGTATTTTCTACCATATATGGTTAACAGTATTTTTGACTGCTGTATATGCAAATTATATGCTAATTATTCATTTGTATTTTCTACCATATATGGTTAACAGTATTTTCTGCAAATTTCTCATTTGTATATTTGACTGTTATATATGCAAATTTATGCTACAGGTAATTATCATATCTTATCAACTTGCATGGTAATGCATTTACAACTGCTATATATGCAAATTTATTCAAATTAACCCGTATTTGAATACAAGACTAACAGATACATTTTGAGATTAGATCAACAATGAATTTTGCACAAATGCATTAATTCTGCAAATCCAAGTAATGCAATGAATTTTACTTTGGCTACTCTGGACAGTTAGCAAAGAAAGCAGGAATTATTTCTTAAAACCTTGTCCATTCACCAAATTTACAAATTGACATTCACCATATTATTATTTTGAGGTCAAAGAACATTTGTGTTTTTGGTGAAAAGGTTGTAAAGTCAAAAACAATTTTAAGTTACTGGAATTCAATGGTACTTATAATACATTCTATGTAAAGCGTTATTTATATATGAACTAATCTTTATTAAATACATGCTTATCCTGCCTATTTCTGTATGAATAATTGGTAAATAGTGTGCGTGTGTGTTTGTTAGTTAGTTACCTGGCTACCTTGAAAATGGGGTTTGAATTTCACATTTTGTTAGATGCAACAAAAGAGCGGGGTGTGCATTGTCCGCATCAAC